TCAATCCGGGACAGCCGACACAACGATCAGATCATCTCGCGCTGAGACTTCGCCCCTTGCGCAACACCAGCCGTCTCCAGAGCTTCAGACCATCATTTCAGTCAGCACTAACAACGACCGCATCAGTGATCAAAAGAATCAACCCAAAGGCATTGTCGAGCTGTTGCATCCACACATAACGCCTACGAACTCTGCTTTGTCAGTATGACACGCTTGGTCAGTTGCGCGCGCCCACATAATCGATTTTCAAACACATGCGTGCACTTTCTGCGAGGTTAAAGTTGAACCGTTGAACTTGCAGGGCTCGACGAAGATGGAAGAAGTACAATGGACTCTACCTGATCCGTACGCACTACAGAATCGCCGGGTCCCCATCGCGGCCCGATACGACTATTGCATAGGTGCACGGGCATCAATTCATCGTCAACCACGCATTGTGCCGAGCTTCGGCACAATTCGGTGGTGGGCACCCGGCGATTTTCTAGTCGCCCGGCCCGGCCCGGCAGCCTTTGAACCCGCTTCCCCGGCCCGGCCCCGGTGACCCGGCAGTCTTTTCTTACCCATGTTCCGGGTTTAGCGGGCCCGCCGGGTTGGCCGGGTAACCCGGCCCAGATCGCCAGGCAGGAAGGCTTTCGGACATGATCGACGGTAAGAACTTCTTATTAAGAAGAACCAATATCAGCGCTGCATGGATCAAACAATATTCCAATGTGCCAAGTCACGCGATTGAAAGGCGAAGTGCGCGTTAATTTTCAAAAATCGCGGTGATCCCTGACAATTAACGCGAAATTCCGCGCTACGTACAATTAAGAGCACTGTTAATGGCTTGAAATATCTGCGCTGCCGGGTTTCCGGGTGACCCGCAGACAGCTGCGGGCGGGTCATTTTTCGCCCGCTCACCCGCATGAACCCGGCAACACTGGCGGGGAAGCCGGGTTTGTGACTTTGACCCGGCCCGGCCCGGCTCGTTCCGGGGCCGGGCCGGGGCGAATCGGGTCGCCGGGGCCGGGCAAGGGTGCCCATGTCGCCGCCGCGGCGCCGCGCCGCGTCTCGGCAGTATTACGACTAGACGATCTTCTAGTGAAAGCATCCCAAGACTGAAGACAACATCGTCGAGTATTCATGAATCATTATCACGACAAACACTGGTAAATGATTACAACAACGGCGATGGAGTCTTCACGAACTTGACAATATGGCCTTGTATGCTGCTCTTGTCGATTGGGCAGTGTCCTTTACATCGTCGGACGTACGGCACACCCCACCTCGCTCTTTCGTGCGAAGCACATGTCTCTTCTACTCGACCTACTCGACGGTCGAGGATGTTGACGCGATGCTTTAACCTGATGATAATGGTGCCAATAAACACACTATGTTAGGACGAGGTTCACTGCGCTTCTTAGAAGTTGCCACACACGTCACGACAACAGCGAGTGAGTGAACATGAGTTTTGTGCGGTTTCAGCGTGCAGTCATTATTTCCATGACCACCGAACTCAAATGGTTCAACACGAACTACTATGTTGATGTTTTAATCTATTGACACGCATGCACACAGTTTCTTTCAGAGTGTTTCAAGTTAGTTGCGACTCTCCGATCCACCACTTAGACCACTTAAACCACTTAGACCACCAGATCACTTAGACCACCACTTAAAAAAGAAAATTAAAGGAGCGTAGTGACGCTAACGACTGACAGGGGAAATATCAGACCATCTCGTCGCAGTCGACTAGTCATCCCTTCGTTATCTTGTAGTCTTGACACAGCTCGATTTAGGATGAGTCGCTCGTCACTTGAACTCTCAAGCATGTTTCCCATGCTTATCCACAGAAGCTCAACTCAGAACGTTACGATCACTCATGCAGTGGCGAGGTGAGGAAGTCCATAGAATTGTGGACCGAGTTAAGAGAGAGCTAGTCTTGCTGTCTTTTTATTCATTGCCGTTCAGAATAGATCAACTACATCATTCTTTCTCGCCTAAGCTTCGAATTATGTCGTAACATGACCCGACCTCTGACAGCATATTACAAGGAAATCAGCGACCAATTCATACTAGGGAGGAAGGATGGAAATAAGACACCAACAATCTCATCTTCCTATCCTCTTGGAGAGTTTCGTCGATATATCTTGTCGAGGTGAATTGCAGGAGTTCTTCTAGCATCCGCGTGTATAGACAAACCGACTGGTCACGCACACGACGCTTGCGTGAGCCACTATCACACAGAACCAACGTGGTTACAACAACTCACTTAGTGTAGTGACTAGACTACACGTGAAGACTATAGAAGTAAACCAACACACAACTCAATTAGTCTAGTGACTAGACTACAGTGTAGACTATAGAGGTAAACCAACACACAACTCACTTAATAACATCCTCAACAATATTGGGCAAGCCCCTGACAGTGGTGCGGGGGTCCACTTCAATAGTCACTTCTCGATCGGCCTTGTACGTCTGCACTCCTACTGACATACGTTCATCCTAAGACACAGGAAACATCTACAAATACCACGACAGAAGCACTCACTCGAGGCTTGAAGTTACGGGGGCGATGGCGACCAGTCGTGAGATCAGGCAGTGTATAATACTGCCATACGGGTGTTTGCTCTTCGTTGATTGATGACCTTATGCGACCAGCACGACTATAATTGTGCACCACACGACCATGCATCGGGTGGGAAACACGACACTGCTAATAAGACTCTCTAGTGGCGATGAACCTCCACATAGAATTATACTTCATTTCACTTGACAACCTAATCGGCCTAGAATAAAATGGAATAATAACCTTTTTTTCTTTTCTCAAGATGAACACACTCAGCTTCGGATGGACCACATTCAGAGGCGCAGGTTCGAGCGTTCCCCCAGGACTGTTGACCAACACCAGACGAGTAAAATAAATACAATAGATGATCATTGTTGCAATTATATTATTATAGTAGTCTACCCATAATCTCCTCCCGATGAGGAAAAGACTCTTCTCACAGCACGCCAACACCGCCAAATCTGGCCTCAGTGAACTCATTCTCAGCCTTCACTTTCTTTATCTGTTCAAGCAGTAGTTCACATTCTAACTCCAACTTGTGTTTGCGTAGCATTCGCTCTCTGGTCTGTATGGGTCCAGTCGAGGCGTGCAGAGCGTGTGAGAAGCCAGCGTTCGACGCGGCAGCAGTACTGACGAAATCATCATGAAGGGCGCCACCACCGGGGACATTGGGCACCTCCTCCCCAGGAGAGTTCCACAATATGAACTCGTTAGCCAGATTGATGAGATAGACCGGAATCTTGTTCTTGACGTAGCCGACCTCCCTGTGCTCTTCGATCAGCTTTTTCACTCTCGACACCAAATTGTCCATTTTTTTCCTCACTTGTAGCACCGTCTTGGGCGAGCCCGGGTTCATCTCATTGAGAGCTTCCGTGAAGGAATCGAATGCATTCGCCCTCTCAACTGACAAGAGTTCCTCTCACACCCTGATGATCACAGTGTAGGGCGGTTACCTTGTGCCTCCGGTCGACGACTCTTTAGAACTGATCGGTTGCGAATTATGAGCTCCACTAGCATAACGTTCTCGTTTTCTGTGAAGTGGGATTTAGGTTTGAACCCACCTGAACACAAACAGGGGATTGCCATGCGCACGAAACGGCGACTGTTGGGTCGTTCAGTGGACCGATTTCGAAACTCAGAATCTCAATTCTTTTCGGTGTTAGAATCAATTCTGAAATGCCTCGGAGTGAGGCACTTCATATTCCGCTCATTGCCACTCACCGTGGGTGCCTCTTTCGCTGCCAGTGACGCCACTCTTCCTTTTGACCCCTCTAGAAGGGGTGACAGAATTGGCCAGCCCTTGAGGGTAGGCCCCTTGCTGAGTGGCAAGCTCAGAAATCACGGCATGATCTATGGGCCCCACGGAGTCTTCCACAATGATTTGATGCTCGGCCATGTGGAGGAATCTCAAGACGCTAAGGCAGAGTACGATCAACGAGTGCTCAAGATTCCCTTCTATATCGATTGTCTGGGCGAGCGAGATATTTATGGTAAGAAAAGTGTATCAACCGGGAATCGAACCCGGGACACAAGTCCGGAATGTGTGCATGCGTGCAGGGTTATGTCGATCGATTCACTGCCAAGTCAACCTTGATTCAAACGATGATATAGAGATTATGCTATAGTCGATTTTCGACTCAATGATGGACCCGACTCGTCGCCTTTTAATCGGCGAGTGGTGATTGAAACTTGTAGCCACCAAATTCCCGATTCAAACAACTGTGTATTGTGAATGCTCATGATGCTGTATTTATTCAATGATAGGACTGACCTTATAAAGGGTTGAAGTCAATATGTAGCCATTTGTCTGAAGCAATAGCAATTCACATTCCCCTGAGTAGTGGGAGACCAAGCCCATGTCGTTGACCGATGCAGCATTTAAAGAGGCGATCGCTCGAGACTTCAAATTCGCACTACGAAGGATACCCCATCCCGACACCACTAGGGGGGAAGGTGGGAGAGTAATCTAATCGCAGTGAAAGCCCTTAGTGTAACACTCAGAGAATTCGACACTGGACCCGGTTGGGCTCCTCAAGACGAACGCTGTTAGCCAAGCAATTTTGGCAGCCTCGAGAGGAGCGAGGGAAGGCTCATGAAGTGCCCCCACCCGGCCCCTGTCGGACCCTCTCAGTTGCTACTATCCGAATAAGCAGTATTCTAACCGAGCCGCTTACAGTAGCTGCTCCCAAGGGATCCTCGTCAATCACAGCGAGCGACACTCAGCACTACGAAGTAGCCTTCGTGCAGTGTGTGGGGAAATATGCACATGTGTTGGTGACAACATGGAAATTCTGGGATGAAATTCTCGCTGGTTTATGAACATTGCTATCCGACTTCACGTAAAAGCCCCTATGATTAGTGGAAAAACTCCTGAGTTCAGCTGAGGCCAACTAACACCGCACTCGTGTCTCGATGAGCAGTACTGCTATTCCTTTAGGTCCTTGCCTCTGCCGACTACAGCGTTTCACTACACAGCAACAGTAGTGATCTACGCCCTGCGGCCTCCACTATTCATAACTCTACACAACCTCACGTGGACAAGTTGGGACTCAATAGAAGGTGACCATCAACCGTGCTGATATTAAGACATACCGTAACAGTCTCAACTGACAATAGTTAACGTGGTGTGTCTCCATACGTCTTCCAGACTATCGTATTCATCCCTCCCCCTGATGCCTCAGTATTCCACCAAAGTCGACGCCCCAGTAGTTCGCTCGGTGACCTCCTCGCGTATGGGGAGAGCATTTCCGAAGTCTTCCCATGTCAATGTTGGCCATCCACCTCTCCTTCAGCCACCATTCGACAAGCAACGTTTGGGTCGTCATTCGTGGTCGTCGTCGTGATGGTTGCTACTATCATGTTTCATATAAATTCCGAACAGTTGCCCCGTGTGAAAATCACAAACTGTTGTCGAGTGGTTCAGTACTGTCAATTCACTCTTACTCTCTACGACCCACACCGAAGGGGACACACTGCTGTTGGTCAGTTGGTGCTGCCTCATGCTCCTCACCACTGGTCCTCGCAGTAGTCCTCTAGTGGAGAGTAACAGCCTTAGCGCGGTAGCTGATGGACCTTCTGCCCTGTCAGACCAGAGGGGGTTCTTGGCAGCTTTCAAGCAAGCGGCGTCGGCCCAGCAGGAGGCAGCGAGCGCTCTCAGAGACTCCTTTAAGAAAAAGTCAGGGCTAAGCCGTGGGGGAGGGGGAATACATGCACATGGTCAACCACATGTGTTGGTGACAATATGAAAATTCTGAGAGGAAATTTTGGGAAATTCTCAATGGTTTCCGTACACTTTTACCCTAATTCGTATATAAACTCCTATAATGTAGCTTTGCAAACTCTTCTGAGCTCAGCTGAGGAAAGTGATTACATATATTCCTTCAACACTGGGCCTGGGAATAGAACTCATGCGGGATTCACTGCTATACGTTCAGAGTACGTGTACTTGCCCCGTTGATCTATTCATCTTCCCGTGTCAAAGCTGCCGCCAAAGCAGCAGAGGATGCCAAGAGGCGGGTAAGGGCAGGCAGGACCTTGCAAACTAACACCCCCGATCGTCCCCTCTACTCTTGACAGCTCGCCGAAGAGAGGGAGGCCCGTAACGCTGAGAAGGCTGAGACCACCAGGAAGATGGAGGCCGCGACTACCCAGTATAATACGCAACGCCGCGCACTCTCGGTAGGCGTCTCAGGACTGTCGTCTCGAAGTAGGACCATAGGCACAACTCGCTAGGGCCAAGCAGGAGAATGAAGAGAGCACGAAGGAGGTAGTAAGAACAGGATTACAGGGTGATGAATGTGTGTTGTTTTGGAGGGCAAATGATAGTGAACAAGTTGTCGCTATCGAAGTCCCAAACGGTTACTCTCATGTTCATAGTCATTATTCACATTGTATATGCGATATAATTTCAGATTGATTTTCATACGGATTTTGCATATCAAATTGACACGCAACTGTAGTCGCTCGAAAGTTTACGCTCTCGTTGGTAGTTCCAGAAGCTCTTTGAGGATCGCAAACAGGAGGCAATACGCGAGAAGGCTTACATGGAAAAACAGCTGAGCCTCGTAGGACTAGCTCAGCGCGATTCGGTCAGTATTGCAGTGGTAGGCACGGGGAGAGGTGACGAAACTGAAGGAACAGCTACAGAAGAGCACCGAGGAAGTCGACCAGGGCCGCAAGGAGAGAGCTTCACTCAAGCGAAAATTGTCTGATGCTGGTGGGCCAGTGGGGGCAATTTAAAAATTCTGCGAAAATTTTGGGAAAATTTTGGGAAAATTTTGGGGAAATTCTGGGAAGTTTTTGGGAAATTTTTGGGAAATTTTTGGGAAATTTTCATTGGTTTCTATACAATTCTACCTCAACTCGGAACTCAGCTGAAAATCTATATTGCCAAGGTGGAAATATGCAACTACATGTGTTGATAGCAATATGAAAATCCTGAGGAATTTTTGAGAAATTTTCATTGATTTCTGTGCAATTGTTCCCCAACTCTGGTGTGAACTCCTCAGCTCAGCTGAGGAAAGCGAAAATATTTTCCTCCAACACTTCTCAGAGCGCCGCATCAGCGAGCTCCAACGAGAAATCGAAAATTTCCGACGAGAAGACTCCAAAGGGTCTCAGCCGGACCCTGAGGTTAGCACTAGGATCACTAACGCTGTGGCGCTCAATAGCAGCAGTAACAACAGCTCTTGTAAGTCTAGTCGTCATGTTTGTACCGAAGTCCTCGGTGTTGCAGTGTTGGACTCCCTTGCCTTCGGAGAGAGTCTGCTAGTTGAAGGCTGCAGCTCTTTTGATGCGACTGTAAATCAGACCAGGACTAGCAGCAAGAAAACCACAACCCGAACAACTGCTGCAAGTGAGTGTGTTTAGTCTCAATGTTTAGGGAATATATTTTTGTATGTTTTGTGAAAACCACTTACATAGCTAGAGTTGTGCAAAAAATGACACCCGTTTTACGTGAAGTGGCGTAAAACGCGATATTCGCGGTGATATGCAGTAGTTGTGAAAATATATTTTTCACTAGTGTTTTTCATATCACTAGGGTGAAACTTCAATGTGCTCGATAAGCACTGCTCATTCGCCCTGTTCAGAGACCACCACCACCACTGTAGCTGCCTCGAGGCCCACACGAACAACTACCACGCGGACTTCAACAAGACTAGCGGCAGGGGCCCGCGGTCAGGCCAGGGGAACTACTAAGCACCCATCACCGGAGCCTAAGGTGACCTTTGCTTTCCCTTGCCTTGCATAGATTCTCCCTCCAGAAGCGCGCTCGAGCTCGTCCGACTGCCCAGCGGCAAAATACAGCGCCAGTAAGGGTTGACCGTCGTAGTGATTCTTGACTTGTCCACTGGGTGCTCGCTTTCCTCAGCTGACCCTAGGAGTTTCCTTACTAATTATAGGAGTTTATATACAAAGTAGGGTAGAAATGTACAGGAACCAACAAGAACTTCCCAAAATTTCCATATTGTCACCAACATATGTGGTCGGCCTTGCGCATACTTTCCCGCACGGCCACTCAATGTTCGCTTTCCTCAGCTGAGCTCTAGGGTTTCTCAGAAATTCGTGTATAAGTGTGTTGAAAAACCAACAAGAATTTCCTCATATGTAGTTGACCTCACACTGTGCCCTTTTTAGAGGTTCATTCCAGAAGGCCAGTCGCCGCCCAGAAAACGTCCAACTCGTGCGACAAGAGCAGTTGCTGCAGTCGCCGAGGCCACACCTATTGCTCGCAGGACCCGATCACAGCGGACTCTAGTTGGTTTACGCAGTGCTGCTGCATTGAAATGATGATGCTCTTGCTCATACCATCTTTCTGGTAACTACTAATGATTGCCTGATTATATAAGCATTCAAACTTGTTATTCATGTATGATATGAATCGATAATGCAGCTAAGCTATGAGCGCTGTTGTGTTTACCATTTCCAAGGTTTTATAAACTAATTAACGCGAAACACTTTTTATAAGGAAACACATCTGACTGTACAAATACTGAGTATCCTCCAGAAACTAGTGCAGAAAATGGCAATATACAGAGCTTCGCTCCGCTGCTGACATCAATAAACTCATCTGCTTGTCAATGGGTTCAATTATCACCGTCACGATAAATCGACTTCTCTGTGGTGGTGTCTGTATCGGCAAGGCTCTTATTGAAAAATCGGCTGACAGACTCAATGGCCAACTCGCTCGAGGGTTTCTTCGGCGCGAAAGCCTGAAGTGGAATCGAATTGTTACAAAGACATCGGAGTTTCACCCTAGTGAAAATATATTTCACGACTACTGCATATCACCGCGAATATCGCGTTTTTCACAGAGTTTTACGCCGCCACTTCACGTAAAACTCCACTGAATTGCTCACCTCGAAAGCATGTGGTTGATGGGGGAATAATTCCAACACTTTGCCGTTTTTTTCATGCCGTGAATACTCCTTCTGTTTCACAAGCTCAGATAGAGGCGGCAACGACGCACCGCTGACCTTCTCATAGAACTTCACAGAGTCGCACAAAACGGCTTCACTAAGGCCTAAGAAGTGATTATAAAATCACGGCGGAGCGATGCATAAAGCTCCTCTTACTCGCGTGAATGAGTAATTTGGTGGACTTGAAAACAGCTGGGAGATTCTTCGCAAACAATGGTGATGCGAGAGGATTAGAACCCTCCCTTTTGAGCTACAAAAATGACACCATAAATGTCTATAAAATTGACCTACTTTTGGTCTTCACCTCTTCTGTAGTTATTGGTTCGAATTTACCAGAGACGTACCTGAAAAAATACCGGAATAATTTCGTGGCGAGTGACGGAAAATAAGCACATCTCAGCAGCCCGTCTTGCGTTGGTCTTGGACACCAGCCGATCGGTGTCCGCGTTGAGGTCGTAGGTCTCACCACTGATAGTCAGATCGAGGAAGGGGGAGAACAACGCTACCGCCTAAAAATGCATATTCAAAAATCGCTTCGCTCCGCTGTAATCAACAACACTCAGATCTGTCCAAGTGTAATTACTTTAATAACCAATTCACCAGAGAATCATTCAGCTCTGAGAAATAGCGTTACCGAGAGTCCGACGAGAGCGACACAAAGAGGATCCTAATGTCGAATCTACATGGCAAACTAATAGAATATTGAAGTTCCACCCGTTTTACGTGAAGTGGCGTCGTAAAACTCGGTGAAAAACGCGATATTCGCGGTGATACGCAGTAGTAGTCGTAAATATGTTTTCTACTAGTGTTTTTCATATCACTAGGGTGAAACTCCAATGCGTTCCTAGCAGGATGGAAAAATATGCACTGGTCAACTACATGTGTTGGTGATGACAATATGAAAATTCTCGGAAAATTCTTGTTATTCGTACGAACTCTGGTAAAAATGTGCAAAGACACACAAAAATTTTCGGTAATTTCCACCCAATTTTCATATCGCCACCAACACATGTAGTTGACGATGTGCATATTTTCCCAACACAGGTTCCTTGCAGTATGTGAAAAACTCAAAATGAGTTCCCAACCGGAACATTGTAAATTCCTGGCTGATTCTCTGCACCAAAGCATTGTGGTGCGCCTGGGCTTCCGTCGGCACTCACCTCAGGAGGCGTATCTTTCTTTTCCAAAGTCACCGCAGCCGCAAGATTTCCGCCAGAAGAATCACCAGCAATCTAAGCGGAAAAAAATGGAAAATTTTTCCTCAGCGTAAAAAAAACTGACCGCAACTTTTGCCGCTTTTTGATCTTCTCTTAACCAGTCGTATGTACTAAGGCAGTCCTCCAGTTGAGCTGGGTACCTAAATCGTGCGGAAAAAATCGTCAAAACTCAGCGGAGCGAAGCAGATTCACCCGAAATCCGGAGATAGTCTAAAGTCAGGTATAACAACTCCTTGAAAACGACCATCTCGGGCGATATGTGCTGCCAGGCCGTAGTAGTAGCGCGGATCCAGCATGCAGAAACCACCACCATGGAGATACATTAACCACCGGGAGGTCTCGGGAGGCTCTTGAGCGGCTGCTATACGACTCAACACATGCACTGTGCACGATGGTGACACCTGGACCTTCTTCAGATCAACTGAGAGGGGAAGGTAGGGTATCACCTCCCAGAGGAACGCCTACACTTGTATTTTCGTTGCCAGTATTTGCCGAGATACCGACCGAACCAATTCGCGAGAGCTCGATCAGCCATGAAGGTCGCTTGCGACTGACCGACGTTATGAGCCACCATTCGCACGATCTTGGAGAGGCCAGTTCGCATGGCTTCGAATGAATCGGATTATGAACAAAATCTGAAGGAAAAGTGGTATGAAAATAAACGCAACAAGAAAGAAATATAGGAGATGATTATTCTCAAGAAGGGAGCGACCAATGTAGCTGCATCTACGGACTGCCAAAAAAAGTAAAAAAACAGAAAAAAATTCGTAAAAAACTGAGAAAGTGTCACGCGTCGACCTTTTCTGTATCATGCCAGCTTGAACCTAAGATTCTTGGCCCTCCGTTAATTCTGAGAAGGCTGCCGATTTCATTCCTGTTAAGCTCTTCCACTGTCCACTGGCGGACCTAATCTGTATCATGCCAGCTTGAACCTAAGATTCTTGCCCCCCCCTAATTTTGAGAAGGCTGCCGACTTCGCTTCCCTATAGTCGAATTTTCAAAAAATCAATCTCTCTTATTCTTGCCATTACGTTCTTCAATGGTCCACTGGCGGACCTAATCTGTATCATGCCTGCTTGAACCTAAGATTCTCCCAAATGCCTCTACCGAGTTAATAATAGGAGTATGTGTTGGCTTTGAAG